ACAGTCATCTTGGCAGGAGGTGTGCGAGTAAGTGCAGTCTGCCATCCGGCCCGTTTTCTCATCAAAGGGCTTTTATGACTCTCACCAAGCAAATAATCAGTGGGTAGCACAGAATACACAATTTTTAGTTGTAGCATGTCCTGACGAGAATATTTGTAGATCCTGGTCATGATTAGCACCGTTGTATGGATGAGTTAAACGATAAATTCCAACGTGACGAACAAGCACGCACAGTCCTCAGATCATGGATTTAACCATACATTCGAAAGCACTAGACTCGAGTATCACTCTTATTAGTGCTCATCAATAGTGCATATTCACTGTCCCGTTCGGGATATAAACTTCGGACCCATCGCATTTGCGTTACCACTATGCCAAACAGCTCATAACAGGGTTGAACCGAATTGCCAATTCCTGTTTATTCAGGCGGCGTCTTCAATGATAGTCAGTCAGTTCATTTGGCCCGACAGTAACGAAGTGAGACACAGACGACAATCTGTTAACTCCAACCGAAAGCCTCCCACCAAGTCAGGACTTTCATACAGGTTACGGGTTAACTTGACACAAACCTACCCGGCTCGATCAATTATTTGCATTTATCTCGCAGTTACTTATGAGTAGTGATGTGGGACAATTGATATTGATTTGAAATGACTATCCTTCAGTGTTCACTTTTAAGCATGCAAATGCATCATTATCATAAAGGCACTATTTTCAAAATCACGATAATATTGTCACAGTAACATATAATTCCGCTACCTTACCAACATCAGACCACACAACAACGGCAATCTCACCATATACGCGTCAGTAGGTCGTCTTGGATAAAAGCATGATGTATGAAGAAAACATCCACGCCATGGTCCTTAGCGATTATGAAACCAACAGGATGCGTTTTCCTGAGAGCAGAATAATCTCATAGACTGGAAATTTTTGGAAAATTTTCGAATCGTACTTTCCGAAATTATATTGCATCATGTTATACATGAAACTCTCGAAAAGCGTCCCCTCACGTAGTATTGGGACTCAACGAGCGTGCAGCGGTTTGACTGTAATTTTGCTCAGAACTAAACATTTGACTCCATTGTTTCCAGGTTTATGTTTAACCCGTCTGGTAAGAAATCACTACCACTGCCGTCCGTTCATCTACTATTAGACTAAGAACATTTATGATGACTACGCTGCACAAATATTTTCAATACGCACATATCAATAATACCTTCCGTAAATATACGGTTTTAATCGGACGGGGAAAACAGTAGTTTTCCAATTTATTATGGTTCTTTCAAAAACCAACAAACACACATTTATTGGCATTATTATGTCGTGATATTCAGCAGGGTTCTACAATCATCTTTGTTATTTTCGACTCTTCTTATAATAAGAGGTTTTGTTCTATCGGGATTACTTCTGGAGTACACACTGGCAGATCGAGGAAATAAGGGAGTAAAACTGAAAAAGGTCTCCCGGATAAGAAACAGAAACTTACGAGATGCATCAAAGTGGCCAACATCTGTGACTCGATGTCATTACTTTCCACGGATATGTAGTTCTGCACGGCCCGTCTCACAAATGAATCATACTGCCTGCGTATCTAAAATCGGAAATGGAGCCCAAAGGTAGCAATTGGTCACTTGAGTTCGTCCCAAAATGAACTGTTCCCGGTGTGTATCTTGGTGGTCGCTAACTTCATCCAACGTTTCGGAAGGTTCGGTCAAAATTATATTGTCGATATGCAACAAAAGTAAATTTTTGAATAGAAGTAACTTGAATTTGGGTACCGATTAATTTAGAAACTTGACAGTGTAGTGATAGCTTGATTATTTATGAATTAAGGAGGTGAAACGCTTTCGATCACTTACTCCATTTCACGATGACAATATTTATAAATAACAATCATTTAATAACATGGTAAAGATGACAGATCCGAGCACTAAAATTGATTAACTAGATCTGTTTGACCTACGAACTTTACGATAGGTCGTGGGTAGCAAATAGTGTTATTTAAATACCTCATGAATTGAATACCGTATTCTGTTTCACGATCATGTAAAACCAGTAGACTAGGTTGGACAGGTCTAATTTTTGCTTATCGTTGGGGTGCAAATGGTACAAACTATCAAACACTGGGGTCTGTTCCAGCTTTATCTAAATAGTCACCAATAGTCGAATTTATTTTCATTGCGGATTGAGTAGGAATCATCTTCGATCTGTGTGGTGAGTGATTCGAGGGGAAAAGCAAACTGCAAAATCTTTCGTCAAGCGTGTATTTCAATGTCAGAAATACATAAGAAATCACATTTGATTCAAAGGAATCGGTGTTATTAGAGGGAATCACGGCCTCACTGTCATTTACTCACTAGAATATTGAGGGCCTAGACTGAATCCTTTCAGGCAATGAATCATCACCATATCCACGTCTGGGCATGGTGACCGATTTATCGATCCATCTTGACGTGATTTGTTTCCTTACCAGACCGACAGAGGTCAATTACCGCTGAGTTCCTTCATTCGCGTCCACGACGCACACCCGAGTAACGATCACGGACATAACGTTCCAGGGTGGGCCAGGGGGGGGGGCGCCCCACGGAAACATTCCCCCTTCGCTCGGTAACTCACTCAAACTGTAATTTTGTTTATTTTCGGAGAAGTGAGTTCATTCGGACCGGAAAGGGTTTAGACAGACCCAGTTTAACCGGTGACGTTTGAAGGCCGAAACACCAAT